GATGTTTTGCTTACCTACTAAGTTATTTTGTTATTTATATATAAATGTTATACGTACTTACACGTAATTTAACTAATAGTGAGTTAAACGAAACCCTTTATATCAATATATTACAACCATTGTGTCCAAAACAAATATATTTAATAGCTAGTAAAATATTTTGAGCCGAAATGTCGTCCCAAAGGTCAGAAAAGTTGTCGATAATTAATGAAGAGAGTTCAAAAGAAAATGAAATTCTGGTAAATTCTCGCTATACGCACAAATTAATTTTATACAGATTTCATGACTGCTGGTTTGTGCACACATTTACGAATAATAAAAAGCTTTTTTTAAATAGTTTGCTTATGTCTAGAAATAAATAGATAAATAGAGAGTGATTAAGGCTCTTATACAATTATATAGTATGAATGTATAACTTCGAAAATGTTCAATCTCATTTCAATAATTAATTTAATATAGTAAAAACTAATTTACTAACAAAAAGTAAAAAAAAATTAATGAGTACTAACAAAAAGAAATATTATAATAACAAGATTATATAAAAATCTTTTATTTTGTGTGGTAGAATTAAATTATTTAAATGTTTTTTTTTATTCACGAAAAAATTAAGTTAATGACTACTAAAAACCTACTTTTCAAATAACTAATAACTATAGAAAATTAAACCCAAATTCCACAATATTCTTAATCTGTCATGGCAAGGACATCATAAAATAATTTGATCTATAAAGGATGAAGGGAAATGTTGAACAAATAAATTAAATTATTAAATTTAAAATTCATTTGAAGTACACTGTATAGTAGTTACTTGTTTACCTGTACAAAAATCATAAGTACAAGTACACCATAAGTACGCCCCATATTAAATGTTAACAAAAAGTTTTCTGTTGTTTGTGAATTTGTACACAAATGGCTATACATTTTTTACTTTTATACAATCAAGTTGTTTTTTTAGGAAAATATGGTCAAAGTGGATGCAACTGAAACTGTGACTGAAACTGCAACTGAAGCTGTGACTGACACTGCAACTGAAACTGCAACTGAAGCTGTAACTGAAACTGCAACCGAAACTGCAACCGAAGCTGTAACTGAAACTGCAACTGAATCTGCAACTGAAACTGCAACCGAAGCGGCAACTGAAGCTGCAACTGAAACTGCAACTGAAACTGCAACCGAAACTGCAACTGAAACTGCAACCGAAGCTGCAACTGAAGCTGCAACTGAAACTGCAACTGAAAATGCAACTGAAACTGCAATTCGTTTGAAAAAAGGTTAATATTGTTTGAATCAATATTTTTTTAAATATTAATGATGAATATAAGATGATTATCTCATTAAACAATTGCATACGATTTTAATCTTATAGATCCAATTAAAGATTATCTGGATGAAAATTTAAAAACTGTATTCATACCGAAATATTTACATAAACATTTTAAATGTACTGTAGGAACACACGTTTTTATAAATAATCCATGGAAAAAAGTATCTCGTAAAAAGATTATTGACAATTTACAGTTACAAAAAACTAACTCGTGTTTTTGGAAATTTCGAAAACAAATTGAAGTAAAAATAAATCATTGATGTTTTTCCTAAATAAGAAAAATCCTCTTTAGTTTTTATTTGATTATATAATTTATTTATTTCATCAGGCCATTACAAACGATGATGTTTTAATTGGATATAAATCCTCTAGTAGTACAGATGAAGAATTCTTATTATGCACCACAGACAAAGCTAGAGAATACATTGAAGAAGCACAGAAACGAGTACAAATAGAACTTGAACAACAGGTTGAGAGGTCCATGAATCGTCTAACAGGTCCTTGGGATCCTCAAGGCAGTGAAGACGATATTGAAGATCTAAAACCTGTTACGACGAGTGAAAAGGTATGCTTTATAACGTTAGTTTAATGTACTAACTGGGAATTAGGATCCCCGATAAATCCAATGTATTTATATAGGTACTTACGTTTTACCTCCGCAGGTTAAAGACTGTAAATTATCTATAATATAGTACATAATATAACCAGGGGGTTTGAGAGCTTAACCCCCTATCACCCCATTGAAATTTGTTCACATAATAAATGTATTATTTAAATAGGCAAGAAAACTGTAAAAAAACTTGGTTTAATTTATACCCCCCTAACCCATTTCATTATCATGGATAAGGCACTGCTAACATAGTATATATGTATACTATGTGATAGTATAGTACGTATCATAAATAATTAAAAGTGGGTGTCGCTCTGCTATACAGTAGGTTACAATTGGGTCGCTGTAATGGATGGTGTTAAATTTGAATTCAATGATATAATATTATTGTATAAGAAAAACGATTCTGAGGGTAAACGGTCAGTCAGTCTATGATATTACCAAGTATATTTAATGATATTATTGTGAATAAAGTAATTTATATTATATAACCTATTTACGAGGAAACTTGTTTTACATTTTCAAATCTCTAGCTATAAAAGTTGAACATTTTATAAATTTTTTACTACAAAATAATTATTAAATTTTAAATTTGATCAAAGTTCGAACTTTAGGTAAATCCTTATAAAAAAAATTGTGCCTATGTATTTTTAATATTTTTCAACTGCTATTGTAACAATATATCAGGAGCCGCTTGCATTAAATCTCCACGTTTTTCTACCCAACAAATAAAATTCAAAAATTGCATTGATATTTATAGAAAAAAAAACTAAAAAAAATGAGAACTGACAATGTCCGGAAACAGCTCAAAAAGAGTCAAAATGTTATTTTGTATAGAAAATGAAAATATAAACATTCGGTAAAATTTTCATGTAGGTATCTACAGTTATTCATTATTGAATAACAATAAAATAACAAAACTGCTACACGAGAAATCGAGTGAATATCCAATATTTTAAAAATATGCACTTCAAACGTTCATAAAAATTTGATTTATTTGGAGACATTTTTTTTTTTGATAAAGGTAGAAAAACTTATGAATAATCTTGTATTACAATTTCAAATCTTAGATTTAAAAAGAAAATTTTTTATGAATTCTCAACTCAAAATAATTTGCTAATTTTCGTGATTTGTCAGTATTTTGTCAAGATTTAAATTTTAAATGCTTATAAAAAAAACTGTGACTAAGGGATTTTTAACATTTTTCAAATGTCATTGTAACAATATAGTAGGAGCCTTGTATTAAATGTTCAAGCTTTTTTACCCAACAAATAAAGTTTTATTATCATTCAAAGAAAAAATAAAAATAAAATTGGAAACTGAAAATGTTCCTAAACAGTTCAAAACAAATCAAAATATTTTGAAAATGTTATCATGTATATAAATTGCTTACTTAAACATTCAATAAAAATGTCATATATCTGTTTTAGAGTTACACCAAAAACCAAAATTGATTTTGTAGAAAACCAATGTTGCGTAAAAATTCCCGTTTTTCCTTAATTTTTCATGTTTTTAAAGGGGCTTTTGAAAACTACTGGAAAAATTTTAGTATCAAAGTAACGACTAGATTCACTTTCCTATCAGAAAAGATACTGTTGAAGAAAATCTAAGCACCTATAGTGTCCTTACAGGTGATGACAGACACAAAAAAAAATAAAAAATAAAGAATACATATCATTGTAAAATCAATACATTCATTGTTCCACTCAGAATCTAATAGATTATTAACCTGTTGAAAATGTTATTATTTAAATAAAATTAATATATATGTAAAAGTTAGTTGATCATATAAACCTTTACAGATAAAATATAAATGGAAAATTCCAAAAAGAAGAATTCAGGTTGACGCAGGATTTGATAACTCAAATTCAAAATCCGTAAGAAATCAATATGTTATATTAAAACCACAGGCAAAAGAAATATTTGAAATGAGTGATATGGTTATAATGGAGTCAAATATACAAGTATTTATAAATAATATTGGATGTCATTATAGAAATTTAAATTGTAAATATATCCATGTTTGATAATTTTTTAGGCCAAAAGTGAAACAGTTAATAGGGAAATGCAGACAATTCCAAAAATTAAAGATAATAAATGCATTCAGTCGATTATTGAAGAAGAACAAATTAATCAGCCACAACCTATAATGGAAACAGAAAAAGCGCTTGATGATTTTTTATTAAAAAATGTTCCTGAGTAAATATTTATAATTATTATCCATAGGACTATACACAGTCTTGTAAAGTATTCGATTAAATGTATTCAAATAAAAGTATTTGAATACTTTTTTTTTTGCATTCAAATACTATTATTTGTATTTTTTATTCATTAAAAAAAATACTTTTTTCCGATCCAGAAAAACAGTTTTAAATTTGTGACAAAACATATATTATAAATCATGAACACTCATTTTATTCTTTGAACGAAATATAATAATGGCCCATGATATTTATGATTATTTTTATAAACACCAATGTGTTGTACTTACTACTTATCCCTTATCGGCCGTATCATATTATGTAGTCAACATTTATAAATAACTTATGATTACGATGTATTTTTAATTATTAATTAATAAATGTAAATTACCAAAAATTCAAAAACCTATAAAAACTAGTTATGAAAAAAATATTCGAATACTATTCTGAATATATTTTTTAAGAACTATTCAAATAGGTATTCTGAATATATTAATTCTCATATTTTATTCAAATATGTATTTCGAATACAAAATAAAAGTATTCTTTACAAGACTGACTATACATTAGAAAAAAAATCACACTATATTATGTACTATTGTCTATAAGTATAGCACACAGGTGATACCTAATTCTAAAATTCTATTAATTATTATCAATACATTTTCAACAATTCAAAGTTCAAACATATCAATTTCGTAATATAATAGTACTGACGTACTATTAATTGTTAAGTGTAGGTACACCTATAATAACTTAAAACTAGTAGGTAGTTATAACTTCTAATTACCTACTATTATAGTCATACCTATATAGTATTGAGACTTCTGTAATTTATTGTCTTTTGTTATTAATTTTGAGTGTAATGACTCAGTTACAATATAACGAGTTATACGATTTATACCGTGACGACTACAAACAGATGAAAGATGAAAATAAAACTAAAATTGAAAATGTTGCCGAGGTGATAAGAATTCATCCTGGATATCAAAATGAAATGCCACAAAAAAAATACGTATCAAGCATTACTTGGCATCCTACTATAGTAGGTAAAACTATAGCTGAAAAGAAATAAAATTGTGTAATTAATTATAATAATTTACAATGCATTTTATTTTAGGCGTTTTTGCAGTTTCTTACATGTCCAATAGCAATGAATTGGTAAAACAAGTGGGCTTAAAAAATACAGATGAAGAACCCACTGAGTCAAACGTCAAAAACAAACAGTTCAGTATAATATCATACACCGAAGATGGCCATGACCAAGATAATTGGAATAAACAGCCAAATGTTAAATTTTTGGATGATAATTACGAGGAAAAGTTTTTGTATTTTTTGAACAGAGAATTTGTGCAGGTATATTTATATTACAATTTGGTAAAAATTTTGAAAATTATTAAAATTTGGATATTATAAACCGAAGAAAATAAAAATTCTTCAAATAACCGAGGATGAAAAAATGAGCCAAGGATACATGAACAATATTGATGAACATTTGCGCCAAACGTTAATTTACGATTCTAATGATGCTAACGATTTACTTTCCACATACAATGAGTTTATTGGAGAGGAATATAATCATGACAACGATGTAATAAGCAATCATACTGACTACTCAGTAAGCCATATGTCGACTAATAGAAACCCAAGTGAAACTGACGTGTGTCACCATGATTCAGACACTGAAAGTTTTTATAATATTTGGGGCGAAGATAATGAATGGTTGTATAACAACGAACTGAGGAACGTTGTTAGAAATATACATAGGTAATATCTAGAAGCATATTTTTATTATTATTAAATTACTTTTATTAATTTCAAAAAATAAAATAATCTAATTAGGAATTTTAATAAGAAATATAATAGAGAAGCTAAGGAAGAAAAATTGTTTGAACTCTTGATGTCTGAAACTGAGAAAAAAAAAAAGTATATATTTTTTTTTTAAATTTTGAGCTTAAAACAAATGTTGAAATAATTTATTATTTTCTCTAAACATATAGAAATGAAGAAACTAAAAAAGATAAAATGAAGTTAGCCAAGGATATGTTTGAAGCTGGAGATAAATATAAAATATCTAAATCTAAACAAAAAACTAAGAGAAAACTGAATAAACAATATGCATTGATACAAAATGACCAAGAATCTATGATCAAACGAGAGAGTACACCATTAATAGATGAACAAAATAACTCGGTTATCGTTTGGTCAATTAGTGATAATGTTTTCCCGCAGGTATTTTCTTTATTTTAGTATTAATAGTATGATTTTTTTATCTATAAGGATTTCGCTGACAGTTATTGACTATTTTAAAACTAATATTTAGTTGAGGTTGGAGAGTCCTGAAGAAGTGAAATGTGTTGAATTTAACCCTAGAAATGGAAACGTCATTGTAGGAGGGTTGACAAATGGGCAGGTTTGCATATGGGACATTGAAGGAAAATTAGAGGCGATGGGTTTAAATTTGAGCATGTCTGAAAAGGAAAAACAACATAAAAAACATCTGGTAAAAATAATCATAACAAATACTTAAATATTGCAGTGTGTCAATCGCAAAGTATAAAATAATCATTTTTTATTTTTTTTTGTTATTTACAGCACATGCACATGAAGTGGTCGTTAGACGTAAATTTCAAAACTAGGATCAGACCGACAGCCTTAAGTGCCATCACTGAATCTCACGAGTCAACAGTCACTGCGATCCAATGGATTCATCCAATGACCAAAGTTAGTGAATATTTTAATAATACTATGCATATTGGTTATAAGTTGGTAGTTACCTACGTAATGAACGAAATGGTATCGCGGTAAATCGAAATATGACAGCCACAGTGGTTCTGCGTGAAAATGTCATTAGGTCACGTCATTTAAATTCATGTCAAATAAATAATACGAAAAACAAATGTATTTATATTATACAAGAACATTTTAATGCGATATGTTGAAATACAATGATTTAAATATTGATTTAATATAATATAATAATATAAATATGATACCGGAAAAACAGATCACTTGGAAAATATAGGTTTACTAGTTATAAGCGTATTTTTGATCAAACTTTTGCTAAAAACATTTTGTACGACCTAGGATGTACAAATCATAACAGTAAAAGCTAATTGATCCTTAACAGAAAGAAATATGATTTTAACAATTTTTTTCTAATTAAAGACGAAATTGTAGGTAATAAGTATTTAATTTGAATTACTCACATTTTTTTATAATTTTGTTTCATAATAATAATTAAACATTGTTAAAACATAAAAACAAAAACTGATGTTTATTTAAAAAAACTATAAAAATTTAAATACTTAAGAAAATTAATAATTATTAATAATTTGCACAAGATGTAGGTTCTATTACATAATATATTAACGAATTGACGACATTTGCATTTTTTCTGGCAATCATCTCATAATGTCTTTACCATCCACCAATGACAATTAAGAAAAATATTGACGTATAGGTACTTATACTGTTAACGTTATAAAAACGTTTTGAAGCCCTGGTTTTAAATAAATGCCTATTGACTATTGTAATAATATTTTATATTATACAAATAAAGTTTCATCTGTAAACAAATTAAAGCAAGGTTATTATTTATTATTCTGACGAAAGCCGTTTGATTTGTAAATAATTATTACTTACCTACCTACTAAAAATAAATATCTGAAGCTCCATGTACCTACATATAAAATGAAATTTGTGTAGGTATAGGGTTTTTAATCAAAATATAAATATATATTAATTTAAAATTGTTTTGACCATTTTAATTGTGTTCTACATTTATAACACATATTAATAATATCATGTTAGAATAATATTATTTAATCTTTTAATAGAGTTAATATTGAGTTAAATATTATTAAATATTTATTGAAGTAAAACTTTTTTTACGGAGGTTACGAAAAAAAATTATCGCTCTTTACAACCGAATCTGACGAGCGATAATCTTCTTATTTTTTCATATCCTCTTTTAAGAAGTTTCACTAATTCATCCAAGTGTACTTGTAAAACGTAATTTTTTTAATTTTAGATAACTTCATTGGGTAAACTTATACCTATGCAACAAGGAACATTTTCAGATCAATTTATGTCAGCTTCCTTAGACGGGACTATAAAAGTGTGGGACTTGCAATCGAAATTTAAGAAGAAACCCTATCAAAAAAGTGAACCTAATTCTCGTTTTGGTCGTCCAAAAAATCTGATTTCCAATAAATCACCATTGAGCCATTTAAACAACCGTCTAAGACCATCGTATTCGGTAAGGCTTAACTGTTCTCGGTACATATTGGTTTAATACAATAATTGTCGTTACTCACTCACCTTTCCGTCTCTCTCTGTTTTTGTGGGTCATTCTGATATTTTTCAAAGTTGTATTTTACAAAAAAAATATGATAAATATACATATATCATTGTTATTGGAAGTCACAAATGCAATGTATTCCTAATGAATTTTGTTATTAAAACTATAATTTTAACCACAACGAATTTAATAGCCAAATTGGATACACCACATTCGTGTTTTCATAAACATTGTCAACATTTGAACTTTGAATGCTTATAAATAAATTTTGATAGTTTATTTTTAATATTTTTAAACTTATATTGTAACAATGTTTGAGAAGCCTTATATACAATTGTCAAGGTTTTTGACCAAACTAATAAAATTGTAAAGACATTTATTGAAAAAAAAATAAAAAATTGAAAATTTCCGCAATCAACTGACAAAAATATTTTTGAAAATGTTAGTAAGTATAGACATGATAAAATAAACATAGCATAAATTCCCGGTATCTATAGTTATTCGATTATGAATTACAAAAATATAAGAATATCGCCAAATGATAAGAAATCGAGTAAATTTCCAATGTTTTCCAAAATTTGAAAATGCTCATAAAAATTTCATTTTACTTTCCGGTAGACATTTTTGTTTAATAAAGGTAAACAAACTTATGAGGAACATCGTATTACATTTTAAAGTTTTATCTGCCTTAATTTAAATAAAACTAATTATAATTAAAAATTCCATTTGCCTACAAATAGCTCAACACTAGTCAACATTTTTTGAAAATTTAAGGTATATACCTATAGAAAATGCTAATATCAGTGAAAATTTCATGTATCTATAGTAAATTTTATTCCCGTGTTTTCTAATTTTTTTTTTTTTGTTTACCCCTGAGTTTTTGGAAACTACTGGGAATTTTGTCCTTCTGAATGCACCTTCTGAATGCACCAACTAGATTCACTATCCCATTGGATAAGATACTGCATTTGAAAATCGAAGCATTAGTTCAACTATTTATCGTGTACACAGACACAACAAATAACTAAAAATACATAATTGTAAAATCAATACATTCATCCCTCCAATCATAATCTAAAATTTAATATACCTATCTAACATGTCAAAATATCAAAAATTGACTGTTGATTAATAGGTTTATTTGAGTCTCGACGAGTCATGACGAAAAAATTTGAACTTAAAACGTTTATAAAAATGTAATTTGATTTCCTGGAATACTTTTTCTTTTACTTTTAGGTAAAAAAACAAATGAGGAATCTTTTATTAAATTGAAAATTGAAAATGTCTATAAATATAACAAAATATTATAGTCTTATGTCTATATTACAATTATTCTATTATATGCTATAACAATAACATTTTCTATTATATACATTTTTTCCTTGAAAAAGAATGTTTGTTTTAATAAGAAATATTATTTATTTTTTAACTAATTTATGAAAATAATGATGTATGTTTTTTTTCAATCATTAGACAAATTATATTTTGATGACTCCCAAAATTTAACAAAAATATATGACCCGCTGATTGAATATTGATAATAAATTTGACTTTCCTAATAAATGCTTGTAGCAGCCTCTATTCTCAAGCTCAACATTTCACATTTCATGTATTTAGTTGTAGGTTTGTAGGTACCTATATAAACATAACACTCATTCATCGATCATCATTCTCCACGTATTATATTCATGCAATAGAACTTTGTTCATTTGTAATTTAAAAATGATCAGCGATTAATTGCTGTGTTTCAAAATTTAATGCTATTAGTAGGTACCTTCCTAAGTTAACATGGGTAATGATGCTTGGGTCAGTGAGTCCCTATATAATGACACAACATCTGTATATTACATTGTATGCATGTATTTTGTATTCTATAGTGTTCGTGTATGAATATATTTATAGATCATAATCAGAGAACCAGAAAACCCCATGCAGAGCACCACGTACAGTCCCATAACGGCTATGTCCTTCGAGATCCCCTCAATACAATACAAATCCATCTGTCATAGAAACCTCTGCCGATTCGGGCAAACGGCAATTTGATACGGTAGCGTCAACAGTATACGACAGTAGATAGGTATAAGATGTATCGGGGTGACAAAAATTTGTCATGAGTCCATTGACAGCGTTTGGCGTCACATTTGAACAATTTTACCGGAAAACTAATAGATTTTTTTCGCATAGATATTGAAAAATGTAATATCATTTTACATTTCAAAACATTATATAATATTATATATTATTATATTTATATTTATATTGAAATCTTAATATTTGTTTATAATAATTATACAAATATTTTAGTTATGCGCGTGTAATACTCAATTATTATCAAACATGAATAGAATATTTTAGAAAATGTTTTTTCCGATTAGGTTACATCAAATAGCAAATCAACAGAAAGTTAGGTACATAAATAATGTAATAATTTTATGAATAAGAATTAAAATAATTAATTAAACAAAATTATGTAGGTACCTAAACTGTGATGATATTAGAATGTCTTACATTATAATAATATATCGTCATTAATTATAATTAAAATGTATAATCTTAATATTATTTGCATATATGAAAGTGGTTTTATAGTAGGTATATATGTAGTATAATAGTCTTTTAATTCTTAGTACACATTTTTAAATGTGCGTAAATCGTTTAGAGCCAAACACAATACATGATTTTATAATTTGTGCAAAATGTTTTCTTGTACAGTACCGGTAGAGCCCAGCAATCCAAATCGTACTTTGGTCGTTGGTACTATTATGGGTCAAATCGGAGTTGTCACTTGGGAAGGATATGACACGTATCCACAAGATGGAAACGTAGAAGGCATGCATTACAACTTCAATTAATATAATAACATTTTTTCATGAATCAAATTTATTCTTTACAGAATGCACACATATATGGTGGGGACAAATACATGATGGTCCGATCAACTGCATCAAGAGAAATGTGTTTTTGCCTGATATTCATTTGGTCTGTGGTGGGAAAGTAGCGTCCATTTGGAGTTTGAAATACAATGTAAGTTTAGAGAAATGTCACATTACCTATGCAACAATTTTTAAATTTATATGATTTACAGTAGATATGTATAATATTACTGTATAAAAATTAAGGTGGGTATGAGTAAGAATGAAAATAACCAAACCTTCATTTGCATTAACTTTTCCTCGAGGAGGAAGTATTATTAAGGGTGGGGGGGTCGTGAATCCTATAAACATAGACAGTTAATTTGTCTATAGAGATAAATAATTTGATGATTCAATTTCTCATCTCTTTCTTATCTCTTTTCTCGCTCTGCCCCCACTGAAAATTAATATTCTCAGACCTCAGGAGATGCAGAGGAAGTAAGAATCGTATACTAAATAATAAATTAACACTTATTTTTATTTGATAAAAGATTAAAAGACACACGAGTAGAAACGATTTTGGTTTATAGGTCAAGTATGGCCTATGGAGAAGGTTAAGGCTCTATGGGCAAAAATAACAATGTACCTAGGTATCCACGAGTAAACACAGGAACACTGTGCTGGCGATGATATGTGTTTGGAGGGGCGTTTTGTGCTATTTTTTGAAGGTCAAATCGTTCCTAGCGTTTTACATTTTTATAATATTTTATCTTATAATTTTACAATCGTTATGATAATTAAAGATTATTTTTATGTAAATAGTACTTACATCCGTATTCCGTGGGAAATAGTACTTTGTACATAATGTTAGTGGGTATTTCTAATAAAACAAATAATACAACTGAATATCAAATATAATAATATTGTTGATATATTATAAATGATATCGATATGTTAATATGTTATCATATAAAATATTGGTATCATGACATTATATTAGATTGTCTTGTTTCGATCTGTTATACATTTTTTCACATATTTTAAAATCTAATTATGAAATAACCGGCTATAAAACTGTTGGTAACTAAAAGTTTACTCTAGAATGGTCCAATTTGGTGGAAACGTTTCAATGATTTTACAAACAGCGTTTTATGGTCCACCACTCATCCCGCGAAATTTCGCGTGTCTTTCAACAACAGGCGTTATACAATTTTGGAATCTCGGTTGCACACGCATCAACCATACTATATAGCAGATATTTTCCTCAAAGATGGGCTAATAGCATGTAAGTACAGGCCACTGAAGTCTCAGAAAACGCTTTAAAAAATATAATGCGTGTTGTAACCATATAACGTCGATCGTCGCTATAAATAAATGTACCTTAATACAGTTTCTGCAACTTTCTGCAGCTTTGTCGTCACCGTATCCAGCATCATGTTACATGGGCATAGATAGCTTAATGTTTGCTGATGGTGTAAGCGATATGATGAACTACAAGAAAAACAGGATTATTTGCTTTTCGGATTCCGCCGGGACAGTAATGGTAATGACCATACGTGCAACGATACTGAAACCAAACGAAATTGAAGAAGTCGGAAGCCGATTCCAGAAGGAGTTGGATTGGTTAACAGAGTTGGACGATTGGAACGATATGTACAAAAGAATATTTGGTCCATTGGGAGAATACGACGTGGACGATCATGATCACAAGGCAATGCAATCCGATGAAGAACTACATGCGGTTGAAAGTGAATTAATTCAACCAATATTGTCACAAAATCAAACAAAGAAAACGATTTGTGACGAAACATTCAAGTAAATAAATAAATGTAATTTTATAAGTGCTGCTATACTCATATATGCATCAATATTTCTAGCTGGTATATAAATCGGAGAGGACCGCAAACACGTTTGGGTAAATTGAAAGACGAGTACATACAACGAGAAAAGCGATATATGGTTGAGGCTATGATGAAAAAAAAGAATGTTACTCAAAAACAATTCGATGAATATTACGATGGAATCATGAATAAAAGTGACAGTAAAACTGAGGAGATTTCAAAAATAAGATCCGAAGCCGATAAAAAGTATAGGGACATTATAAATAAATTATTGGCTGCTGATCATACAGACGAATATGTAATGACTATTGTAATTTCATAACTACGAATTGAATCTTTATAATAAAATATTTACTTATAGAAATTCGACGCTGGTTTAAAAAGAAAAACTGTACTGGCAGACCAAAAATTATTAAATGTAGAACTTCAAAAACTGGGGACATAGACATTAAAATTGAAAGAGAAAAGTTTTATTAATTATAGGGCTAACACCATTATAAATCCGAGGAAGTAAACTGGGATCAAGTATTCGACGTTGTGAAAAAGGAAGACAAGAAATATTAAACGATCCAAATATCTTTAAAAAAATCAAATTACGGTACGATTAATAATAATATAATATGTCTTGATCGTCAGTTAATAATTAATGTCAGTACCTATTACAGATTTTTACAACTGATTTTTTTTGTATTGTTATTAATTTAAGTGTGATACGCCAAAAAAGGTGGAAAAATACAAATATGAAAATGAGATTAATTGATATAAAATCAAAATCAACGAGTATCAAGACGCAAGCTAAAAAATGGAATAATAAGCAAATACTATGTGATATGAACAATTTTCAGTAAATATGTAAACATTTGTGTATAAATATCTAATGCAATGGATATATTGATATCTTCTGGTTGCCAATGTTTGATTAGAAATATAATTTAAAGTACCTACCTTATTATAGTTATTAATTCTATGTGGCTTATTGAATGGAGATACTATTTTATGATTCGTTTATATATTTGGTGTCTTATACAGTTATACACTATAAGTCGTTTGCCAATATCTTTAAGAATTGTGAACCATGTTCAATTGTAAATTTTTTAGTTTGTTATTTTGTTTTTAGTTTAGCGGTAACTTTTAAATATTATATAAACTTCCTCTCATGGATATATGAAGTAGGTACAAACAGTTCTCTACTAGGTACTATTACAAGAGTCCATAATATCTGTTAAATAAACTAAAGCGTACAGCGGTTGCTTACTAACAGACCCGTTGAGGATAGCGCATATTATTATCCATTTTAGGGGCTTAACATTTTCACTCGGAAACGTTTTTTACAACATTTTTAAATTTAATTTAAAAAAAGCTGGGCAAGTGGGTGTTGCTTTGCTGTACAGTAGGTTACAAGTGGGTCACTGTATAATGGATGATATTAAATTTGAATTCAACGATATAATATCATAGTATAAGAAAAACGATTCTGAGCGGAGACGGTATGTCAGTCTATGAATAAGACATATTATATACATATCTATGGTATTAAACAAAAAATTGACCTATAATAGGTACCAATAATAAATTCCAAATTAATCATATCACAATATCCATTAGGTGTTTATAAGTTATAACGCGTTATACAACAACAAAAACCGTGATACTATCATAGATATATAATAGTACACTTTAGAAGTTTCAAGTACTCACGAATAACATTATTCAATCACAACAAAATAACTAAAATAGTTATTCTAGGTTTTTTAATATGTAATTTCGTCCAAATTTGAATTTAAAATGTCTGTAAAAAATAACTGTGTTCATATATTTTTTAGATTTTTTGGTGACAGTATGAACTATTTATGAGAACATTCAAAAACGAATATCTGTAGATACATGAAAATTTCACTGAATTAGCATTTCCTATACACCATACAATTTTGAAAATATTTTGACTCTTTTTGAGCTGTTTATGGACATTTACAGCTTTCAATTTTTTTTAGTTTTTTTTTCTATAAATATCAATAAAGTTTTATCTGTTGGGCCAAAAAGTGTAAAAATGTAATACAAGGCTCCTGATATATTGTTACAATATCAGTTGAAAAATGTTAAAAATACATAGGCACAGTTTTTTTTTATAAGCATTTAAAGATCAAATTTTGACAAAATTTATCAAAATCTCGAAAATTATCAATCATTGTAATTAATAACTTATAAAATGTTTAGTTTTTATAGCTAAGGATTGCAAATTCAACACAAAAGTTCTCATAAATAGTTCATACTGTAACCAAAAAATCTAAAAAATATATAATTTTGGCCCGCTAAGAGCATTGGTTTTTTTTGTGGCCCTTGAATAAAAAAGTTTGGAGACCCCTGGCTTAGGCCGACTCCCTAAAACTCCCTAAAAGTCCTAAAAAAGACCTTGTACCTATAACTAAGTAATATGTACACACTACACCGGGTATTGGTGTTGTAAATCATAATACATCAAATGTAAGCCCAACCTTCTTCAAAAGTATAAACTACTTGTATGAAAGACCATGTATTAAATTTTCTAGCCTTAGCTATAATACACATTTAATATTTTATAAGTTTTGAACTACAAATTAACTGTGGTATTGACGAAATTTAGTAATATTCAAATACTTTTCAGAAGTATTTGAAATAATATTCAAATACAAAAAAAAAAATTCTTTTTACTTTTTAGTTTTGAAATAATTTGTTATAATCAAAAATTTGTTTATTGCATTTAAAAACACGATTCGTTCAAAAATCAAAATTCTGATTGGTCGTGTAAGTCGCTCCACAACAATGAACTTTTCTCTATAAAGTTAATACATATTAATTTAAAGCTACTTTATGTATTTGGATATCTTATACCGTCATCGATCGTCGTCGAGAATAAACGATAATGATAATTATTGATAACAATTTTCTTTGTAAATATTTAGTAGCCACAAGCCAGTAGGTAGTAGTTACTAATAATTATTAACAATATTTTCGTATAGTTAAATAATTATAAACTATAACGTATAGTAGCTTTTAAGTAGAAGCTTTTTACAAATTTATTTTGTTATTCACTTAAGCTAATAGTGATACCGACTACAAATGTATCTTTTCGATCATCGTCGACAATAAATTGTCTCCTAAAGAAAAAACATTTAATCGACGAAAACTGATACCAATTTGTCTGTAAGGCATAAATGATAAATATAATATTATATAATTTTATATTGTTATAATGTTAAATCAAAACCACAACGGCATGGTACTTTTATTTAACAAGAATAATTATAAGTAGAGACAAATTAAGAAGAAAAAAAACTTTAAAAAAGTATTTAAAATACCATTCAAATAGGTACTTCAAAATAAAAATTATTTAAAAAAGTATTCAATACCGAAAATGAATACTTTTACTCAAATACTTTACAACACTGCTTATCGTGTACACAGACACAAAAATAAAATTAAAAACACACACATCATTGTTAAATTAATACATTCATCGTTAAGCTCAGAATCTAAAATGAAAATCAGTAAATAATACTAAAGACCTAGGTAGATGTTTTTATAAAACTTTGATTATGCTTATTTTTCATACATAGGTACACATACCCGATACAATAAAGTTTGTGTAGTTTTTATAGTCTATGTAGTTTTGAACCGGCGTCGGTACGAGGCCCAACAGACACTTTAGTCGGCTCAGCCACTCCATCCAACTCGCCAATATTTTAACTTTGATATAAACCAATAATCAAAAATTATTAGTAGAAGTTTTCACTTCTGTATAACGTGCTTACTCCCAAGACTCTAATTTTTTTTTTAAACTGATTTTGACATATTGTAACAAAGTGTGAGGTGCCTTGTATTGAATTTCCTAGATTTTTTACCCAATAAATAAAACTTAATTTATAGAAAAAAGCTAAAAAAAAAAAGGTGGGCAAGTGCGTGTCGCTCTGCTGTACAGTAGGTTACAAGTGGGTCACTATATAATGGATGATATTAAATTTGAATTTAACGATATAATATCATTGTATAAGAAAAACGATTCTGAGCGGATACGATATGTCAGTCTAGGTACCTATAAGACATATTATATACATAGGTTTATACATATAGATTCTATGGTATTAAACGAAGAATTGACCGCTATAATAGGTACCTTATAGGAATATTTAGGAATCCTTTATAGGAATCCTTTCTTATAGGAATTTTTTTTTTTGATAAAGGTAGATAATCTTATAAGAAATCTTGTATTACATTTTCAAATCTTGGATTTAAAAAGAAAAATTTTTACGAATTTTTAACTCAAAATAATTTGCTAATTTTCGTGATATTTCCATATTTTGTCAATTTTTGAACTTTAAATGCTTATAAAAAAAAATTGTAACTAAGGATTTTTAATATTTTTCATCTGCCTTTGAAACATTATACTAGGAGCCTTCTATTAAATTTTCAAGCTTTCGCAACCAACAAATAAAATGTTATTGATATTTTTAGAAAAAAAACTAAAAACAAATGGAAAATGAAAATGTCCCTAAACAGTTCAAAATAAATCAAAATATTTTGAAAATGTTATCGTGTATAGAAAATGCAAATATAAACAACCTGTGAAAATTTCATGTATATACGTTCATTTGTTTTAGAGTTACACCAAAATCCAAAATCGATTTTTTGGATAACCGATTTTGCGTAAAAATTCCCGTTTTTCCATAATTTTTATGTTGTTTTTCCCGGCGCTTGTGAAAACTACTAGGAAATTTTTACTTTTGACCCCCCCAAAATTACCAAATAGATTCACTTTCCTATCAGAAAAGCTACTGTTGAAGAAAATCCAAGCACTTTTACTGTCCTAAAACTTGATGACAGACACAAAAAAAAATTAAAAATTAAAAAAAAGTTAAAAAATTAAAAAAAAACACAGATCATTGTAAAATCAATACATTCATCGTTTCACTCAGAATCTAAAATTGAAAATGTCCGTAAACAGCTCAAAACTAATGCAAATATTTTTAACATTTCATTAAGTATAGAAGTTTTCAAATAATAAATTAATAATCAATATACCTAATGTGAATTTCTAGTATCTAGAGGTTTTGAATTAGGTACAGCAAAATAAGAAAGTAGTTTTGTGAGAGTTTGTTAATTTAAGGGTAAAAATCCAATGTTTATCTTCAAACGCTTGATTTAAAATTTAAAGCAGGTACCTACCTTAATTTAAATGAAACTAATTATAATCGAAAATTACAAAGACCTATAAATAGTATAAATAGCTTAACATGATTCAACATTTTTCGAAAATGTAATGCTAATATTCAATGTACATTTCATGTATCTATGGTAATTACTTTTAGAGTTACACAAAAACCTATTTTGCTTATAAATTACGAATTTCCTCATTGTTTATTTTGCCAGGTGAATTTGTAACTACTGGGAATTTTAAACTTTGAACTACCATATGTACCTACTAGATTCACTTTCCCATCGGAAAAGATACTGAAGTTGAAATTCAAAGCATTATTTCAACTGCTTGTCGTGTACACACAAAAAATAATTTTAAAAATTAAAAGAAAAAAAAATTCACGATAATATGTTTAAAATCATTATACCATGTATAGAAAATGCTAATATTAACATAATGTGAACATTTTGTTCAGATTTACTGCTCCAAAAGGTGACCGAAAAAAATCGACTTTACAAATGGTAAACTGCATACAACAAGAATGCATTAACATGCAATGTAGGTCATATTTCATGTATTAAAATATAACCTTAGTTAATTAATAACAGCTAAATTGTAACCATGATAATTTTTATCTTACAATTGGGAAACTTACCAGACAATAGAAATGAGTAATGACCAACGATATAAAATAAATTCTATTTAAAGTGTAAACATTATGAATTTTTAGATGTTTCTTTTGGAATTATAGATTTAACTTGAAACTAAATACACCATAGTTTTAAAACTAGCAAATTCATTGCTTTGCTTCGAATTTAAAATAAGTTTAAACAGTTAATTGCACTTAAGACTTGAAAATAAGTTGATTTTATTAAAATTATTACTTTAACATAAAAATAATGTATTGTTATAAATAAATAGGTGGATTATATTAATTAACTACTATATTCAGCATGTTGATACTGTAAGCTTGACAAAAAAATAGTATAAAATAAAATTATACGTTGTTAATTAATTTTTATTGTTTAAATTATTATTAAAATATCATAATTATAGTATAATAGTCAATAACGGTTTAAAAATAGTGTCGGTTGGTGCAATGTATATAAGAAAATAACAGGAAACAACCTAATATACTTAAGCTATAGTTAGTATTTAACATAAATACACTGTACCAAACAATAAAAGTTTAAATAATATTATATAAAATTAATATAATTCATCATTTAGTGTATTTTTTTTTTAATTACATTAAATTTAAAATTAATTCTTTAAAGTGGAAGTTGCACCGGCTTGTGTTAGCTCCATCTTATTATGAAGCAAAATATCTGGAAATGACATTCTCTTAATAAAATGAAAAATAATAATACACAAAACAATTATTTACGCATTATAATACTTTTTTTAGATGAGATGAATTGCTACAATGATAGACAATTATAGATCATTAACTAAATTATGAAATACAGAATTAAACAGTTAATTTTAATGGAAGGATTGTTATGTTTCTAATGAATGGATTTGTCTTTTATTTAAAATATCTCCAAAAAAAGTCATCCTATACTTTTTCACATACCTGAAATACTAGTGCGAAGTAGTCAATAAGTGGATGATATAAAGAAGAGAGGGGTACTGGGGCGCTTAAAAATGAGTGCCCCTGGGCGCCAAAAAGCTTAACACGGCCCTGTAACTTACAATATTCAATAAAAATAACGTAAAAAAATAAAAATAGTTATATGCTAAGTTTATAGCTATGAAAAACTAAAATGTATTTAAAATAATAAAAAATTTACTTTTAAATAGTAACTAATAAGTAATAATTATTTACGACTTAAAGAGTATTGGTTCATAACAATTTACTATTTACTCAATTCTAGTAATTTATTGAAGGTACAGCAACATGTTGATTGTTTTGTATTATACCATAGGCGTATACCAATAGTTAGGTTATACCAACTAATACCATAGTAGTGCCACAGAATATGAACAGAATATTAATATAATGATATATGAAAATTATTCTCTGAAAATTAACAGCGGTTTCTATTATCAAATCGTTGAATTTTTATCATACAACTATTTTTTAGTTATCCTTGCCCCTTGGGGCTTCGAATTTCGATTCATTCGCGTAATCGCGTCTATAATAGTATAATTGATTTATAATAAAATATAACATTTATAATATAGATCCTGATATATAGAAGTAAGTATTTCTCTACTTATTTTTGTGTAGTATAATAATCAATATTAATACATTTTTAAAGCGATGGGTAGCCATCACGAACTTGAAATCAATATACCGGATTGCAGAATATATAACGTTGATAATGTACTGGAACTTGTGAAGGTGAAGAATATTTTAGCTACCGAAGGACTTGAAGATCCGTGGTTGAGGTAAAGTTTCTTTGAATTAATAATGGGTAGGTAGGTAGTCTTCATTTTACGTAAATTACCTATTAAATATAAAATTATTAGATAAAATTATAGCATTTATAGTGTACTTATAAATTGTATAATGTATAGGCATAAGTGTGTTGACTCCAATTTCCGGTCAAGCCTGAGATAATTTATAATATATTAAAACCTATAATGTACCAATTCTTGGATGGTGTTCCTTACTTTAAAAAAAATATATAATATCAAAGCACTTACCATCTACAATTCACTTATACATTTAAAACTAACATTTAAATGTTGGTAGATTAAATACAATTTTTTAAGGAAAATATCACTTATATCACTAATTTTACCTTATCAAATTACCATGAGTCCATGAATCACCACTGATATGTAATAACTAATACCTAATATACATAACACATTTATACATATATTTCAATGCTCCCAAAAAAAACCAAGTTGACCCCTTGCTTGACCAGCTTGTTCCGAGCGCATGTCTATGTGTATAGATAACAAAAAATGTATATTAAAATATTATTGAACGTAACTTATTATTTTATTACCTAGGTACTGTACATATTGATAATTACACCAACACATTTTAATAAAATCTTGGAATGAAAATTCTCAAAAATCCCCAAAAATCTTTAATTTAGTGTACATTATAAATATTTATGGTATCTAAAAATATTTTATAGCAAAAGTTTTTTTAGTTCACTAAAAGCAGGATTTGAGGTTTACAGCTTATGATGAATATCAACTTTAGTAACTCAATTTCAACTGCGAGGGTACTACATTATCGGTACTAGAATTTAAGTTGGCAAGTAGTGGTTATAGTGTAATTAATCAAAAGATGTTTCGTTGCTGGTAAATTTCCATTATTCTGCATTTGTTTTATATGATTACTTATATTATTTATTTATAATACAAGTTTATTATTCTAGTTGCATGTATGTTGTTCACAGTTATTTTATCATTAGTATTATTTATTGAAATGATTCTAAGTGCCAAATACCAAGAGAATCTAGTATTTTAAGAAATGAAATATTTTATTACTATACCTTTATTATACTGTTATACTCATCTCTTTATATTGTGTGCTCAATGGTTTATATTTTCCTTGTAATTTGGTTAAGAAATTTAATGTTTTCAGAGTTTTTAAGGAGCAGACGAGACCACAAAGGAAAGACTAAAAAGAAAATTGACTCTAGTGGTGAAATAATTGGCAAAAAAGAAAAATTATGATATAACATAAATTTTGTTATATACTAAATTATGGTATGAATTTTAGGGAAGAAAAAGAAGAAGAGCCAAAAAATAATGCTACAGAAATTGATGATGAAGGATATTGTATTCAGCCATCAGAACAATGGACTGTCGATAAAAAAGAAACATTTGATGCCTCTTCTGATTCAGGTTCTTAATTTGTATTTGTTGTAATAATTCAAAATGAAGTGTACTTATTATGAATGACTTTATAGACGGAGAAAGAGATTAAAGACTACATGCTGACTACCAAAATTTTGTTGAATCAATAATTTTATAGATTGTTTTAAATACAGGGCATCAGATACAAAAACAGTAAATTGGAAGTTTGCAGAACTCACTCAATATTCTGAAAGTCAATGTTCCGGTTCACTAAAAGTAGGATTTGAGGTTTACAGCTTATGATCAATATCAACTTTAGTAACTCAATTTAATTGTGAGGGTACTACATTATCGGGACTAGAATTTGAGTTGGCAAGTAGTGGTTATAGTGTCATTAATCAAAAGATATTTCGTTGCTGGTAAATTTCCATTATTAATTTATTCTATATACCTGATAAATATGATATTGTCGTTGAATAAATTATCTCTTTAACTTTTTAATATTATTCATGCTCATGCATATTAAATAAAATATCAGTCAGAATAAATATTGATTTACAATATTTGCATTATGTTCTTTTTTTTTTTACTAAGATCTTAATAATTTATCTTACATATATACGTGTATACGTATTACATTGTAGGACTATTAGTATGATTTATTTTTTTCCTATTGCTGAATGTTGTCATAGACACTTATATTTTATACACAAAAATAATCACATACTTTCTTTTTAAATATGTTACACTTATTTATAATAAATTATTAATTTTTTCAGGGTAATAGATACTTGATGGCGAACCAGATCCAAAAAGCTCTACCCAACATTCCACTGTGTCATCAGATTGTTAATTATAAGTTTCTTTATTATATTTTCTATTTATAATTTTTATTTTATTTAAACTCAAGTATTATAATCTCAACATACCTTTTTTGTTGACTATGTTTTTCTTCATTATTTAAGTTCACATTAATTATTTTGATAAAATAATTAACACTATAAATTAACTTCAGCTTTTAAATATTATTTGATTTTCCCTTAGTGCAGAATTATAAAACTATTAGTAATTATTATAAACATAAAACGGTCTTCTAGTAATTTTTCAGTATAATCTACCATTTTAAAATTAAACATTTTTTTTAAAAAAAAACAATGTAATAGGAATTATTTTTAGTATTTATATAAATGTATTATATAAAACTATATATTGTTTCAAATTTAACATATATTACAGTTATATTACTCAATATTAGTCAGTAGAAACACATCCTTAAACTTATTATAAAGAAGTAAAGTAGTTGAATATCCGTAAAAACCTTGCTTATACATACATTTTCAAAATAAATTAGTATTTATAAAATAGAATGCTGTATATTTATACTTATATTATATTATTCCATATAAAATTAACAATGATCAAATTTTTCTTCTAGTTGATTTTTTTAGTTGTAACCAAAACAAAATACAATAGATTTGATTGTAAAATCTCTTTTTATTATTATTTTTATTGTTGTGATATAGTTTTCAATATTAAGGTTCGTTTCATGCTTCCTTGTTATACTAGTTAATTTTTGGGAACAATATTATATGTTATTGTTCATTGGACTTGTGATTATAATGTGAACTTATTACAGATAATACCTTTTCAGACACCTGCAATAGGTTAACTGTATTTTTAATTTGTTGATTTGGACCAATGTATTATGTAGATGTACCTCAAAGATATAACATTGACAGTTTAACTTTGTAAAAATCAAAATTTTTATTTAAAAGTAATTTGTTGGTATTCTGATTTTTGAATACAATAGTGTAGTATAAGATAATTTGTACTCAGAAATAATATTTATTTATATAAAAAAAGTTAACTGGTAATATTAATATATTATTATTGTATGTGAAGATTACTATTTTTTTAGATTTCATATATTATATATAATATACATACCTATATGTAAGGAAAGCAAGACATTAACGGCATTCAACATAACAGTTATAACTTATAAATAGAAACTATTATAGAGAGAAGAAAAATAAGATGGTAAATTAGTGGCCTATGCTGATGACACTTGTTAGTGATTCTCAGATTCTTCATGTAATGGGGTATTGGGGTATATTATAAAGCTACAAAAGGATTAAACTCAACATATAAATGTATAAATGAAAAAGGTTTATCAATGAATTTTCATAAGTCAATGTTCATGAAGTTCTCAATTAATAAATGTATGAATTTCGATTCTCCTTTGTTCATTTATAACTGTTTTATTATATTTTGATGTATAATAATATGAACTGTAAACAAATCAAGTACATATCAAAAATCCGTTTCTTAGGTGTTATATTAGATAAAAATTTGAGACAACCTGCATATTTGCAATTTATTTAGTTGGAGAACCAGTGGCACAACTAGAGTTCAAATCTTGGGAGTGCTACAATATTATGAATTGCTCACATTATTGAGGGGGGCTATTATCTATTAATTGTTTTGTACTATTTCATATTACTATAGTTATTACTTATTAGTTAGGTACTGATAGTAACTATTACTAAATTATACATTTATATTTTATAGGTACACATTTTATAGGGTATGCAATTAAAAATCTTTTAAAATAAAAGATACACAAAATAGTAATTACATAAAAAAAATATTGAAGAAAAAAATTATGAGAATTATTGGGAATAGGTTAACTATACTATACTTGGTAAAAACATTAAAAAATTATTTTTTGGTTTTCTTGCAAATTGCAGTAGGTAGGTATACAATTAATTTAAAATATGAAATAATTCTGGGCAGTATGCATAATGTTATAATCATATGTATTAAACAGATTAACATTTTTTAGACATTGTATTATTAATTATTTGTTGGTTTATTAAAAATGTTTTAAAATAAATCATTTTATTATAGTCGGATATCCTACAATAACACTAATAATAAATATATTTATTAATCCTAATTATGAGATAAATATATTAACAAATCGTTAATTAATTATAAATTAGTAAGCTCTAGTAAATACTGCTGAGGAATAAAAAATGATAGAATGGTCGAGCGCTTTTAATGTAAAATTTTAAATAAATAAATTTAATGAAAAAAAAAATTAAAATTTTACGGAGGTCGAGAGCACGCATGGGACCGCGATGATGGATGAGGGGCGTTTATCGCCACATCAACACTTTTAAGTAATATCTTATTCTGTCCTCATATGGGTCTCGATTGTTATTATTATTATTATTACTATTATCATTGCTGATACAGTCGTCATATCAATTTTCAATTGGACCAGAGGAGGGGGGGGGGGGTTCACCATACGGCGATTTGGGGCAGTAACCATGTGTCAGACCTCCGCATTTATATATATCGGACTAGCAGTATATATATCTGCAGTCAACTAGACACCATCACACAGTAGAGCGTCGGTAAACCGTTTCTGTCCATAGCCCGCGACCAACCGCCGAGCGACAGCCGCTAGATGGATCGGTTTTCAAATAAATTAATATTATTATGTTCTCGCCACGGACCGTTGCGAATATTGTGTTGGTCGATCCACCAGATGTTCCAAATTGCCAATATTTAGATTATGCTATTATTCACAATTATTGTTAACTACGCACATAATATTAAAAATTCAAATATATGCAAAAAAACTAAATATCTTAATACAATTACAAAATATATAAGGTACATTAATAAAAAATGCAATCAAAATTTTCAGTAAACTTCTTACAAATTAGTACAAACTACTGTTTAATTAAATAAATGAAAAATTAATAGAATATGGAAAATGTAATACTTATTATTGTGGATCGAGTACCAATATGAAGATACAAAATGTGATTTTATATTTTAAATTAGAAATTTCTGCGATTGTCAAGTAGCATAGATTTATATTACATGACCCGCAGCACACTCCCCTAGCCTCGTCGATTATCAGAACGGGAAATTAAACAAAAAATAAATAAATAAACGTTTTTTGAATCAGAGCTAAATATCAAAACAATTCATCAAATATTTATAATAAATGCCACTTTTATTGATGCAAATATATAGAAATATGCATTATTAATAGTTATTTTTATCCAAGTATGCAAAAATATACAAAAAAAAAACCATTAGAATCTTTACCATAGAATCTACACATTACAAAACGTCAATATTTCGAATCAAAATAATTCTTGGTGAATTGTTAAGAATATACTTTTCCATAAAAATCCGGTCCTTGTTTCACAATCATATCTACCAGTTATTTAAGAAAAAATGTTAACATATCTTATTACAGTATTTTACAATATTAAAATTTAAAGTGTTAAACAAAATTTCCTATCGATAGTAGCGAATATGTTCAATATTTGGTCTGGTTGTGGACTCCAAATGGAAAGGTTATTTATTAAATTATTTGGTTACCTAGTTCTTTTATGTTTTGACAGCTTAAAAACTGTATTTATAAATAGTTTGCTTTAAAAAATATCTAGTTGTAGTGTGAACAAAGAAACTAAACACCTGGATCGGAAATTTACAACAATATGTAATTATTTCACAAAAGTGTACGATTTTTAATCATAATTCTAATAATGCCTCATCTGTTCTCATATTTTTAATTAGCTCTGCAGTGATACTATTAATAATAATTTCGGTCTTCCCGAATGTAACCGTTTTAGATTGCAATTTGTACTACTGCACTGAGTACCTATGTCTATGACTCCTAACAAATTCATAAAACAATTACTAAAATTATGAAATTACGTTTTGTTTTAAGATTATAATACAATAATAATATAAAATTAATCATTATGCTAGATAAGGAAAAAATTCTTAAAAGTAAATTATATTATTAAAACTATAAATATATGAATTTACAATAACATAGAACATGAGGGTGCTTTTAGTTAAGTGGGAGGTGTTTAAGCAGCCTCTAGCATCCCCATAATTGCATCTTTGTGAAGAATTACGTTCCACAATATTTCAATTTATAAAATTTAGAGTTCTGTTACCGGCTCAAATGATGCGTTTAATCTATTTTGCCTTCTATCAATCCATTTTTACAAATGCTTCATGATATGAAAAGGTGTAACTATTTAGTAAAACTAAATCATATGCTTTTAGGTGCTCCTCCGTCTAAACAGTTAGGTACCTTTACAAGAAAAACGTTTTACTGTTCACAAATGAAAAAGGTGGCCAAGTGGGTGTCGCTTTGCTGTACAGTAGGTTACAAGTGGGTTATTGAAATGGACTGTGTTGATATATTATCATTGTATATTAAGAAAAAACGATTCTGAGCGAAGACGGTCAGTCAGTCTATGATATTACTAAGTATTTATGATGATAATATTATTGTGAATAAAGTAATTTATAGTATATATTATAACCTATTTACGTGGAACCTTGTTTTAAATGTGCAATCCTTAGCTATAAAAGTTGAACATTTTGTACATTTTATTAACTACAAAATAATTATTAAATTATAAATTTGATATTTTTTGTCGAAAATCAAACTTTAAATGCTTATGAATAAAAAAAATTGTGCCTGTGTATTTTTATTATTTTTGAACTGCTATTGTAACAATATATCAAGAGGTTTTTATTAAACTTAAACGCTTTTTGACCTAACAACTAATTGACATTTATAGAAAAAGAACTAAACAAATTTAAAATTTAAAATGTCCGTTAATAGTTCAAATTGAATCAAAATATTTTGAAAATTTTATAGTGTACAGAAAATGCTAATATAAACAATCAGTGAAATTTTCATGTTACAACGATTATCTATTTGTTTTAGTGTTATACCAAATTAAAACTTTGATAAATACTTTTTTTCTTGTTTTATCAAAATCAATGGTAATTAATATATACATGTTGTATTAACACTATTGATACAACAATATTTTCTGGAAAAAATTCTTGCAAGAGAGACCTGATTTTAATAAAAGTATTGAGAGTTGAGTCTTGACAAAAAATTAATTGTGGACTATGAGTAAATTAGATAATTTGATGTTTTAAATAGTGTATAGTTTGAATTATAAATTAATGAAATATTACATACATTCTACACAGTATAAATTCAAAAAGTTTATCCATAAGTTATTCACAACTACATATTCTAAAAACTCTTAATCCAACAATATATTAATATTTTAATTATCTTTGATCGTTTTAAATGTATTATAAGAAATAAATACCTATATGGATATTTCATAATTTATTCTTACAAATTATTTTGACAGCAAAAGAGATTTTACATGAAAATAGTTAATACTTAATAGGGAATAATTGGTAAATTTAATTTTTTTTATTTTAAATTGTCTGTCTTTGTCCTCCTGAGCCTCCTGTACCTCCTCGTCCACCACGTCCTCCAAGTCTTCCACATCCTCTAAGTCCTCTTTGTCCTAGGCTGTTCTGGCCACCCCGTTTGCTTCGCCTCCTTTTGCCTGGAAGAGGGGGGTTGTAGTACTTCTTCACATCCCTCTTCCAATGTTGCAGTACCTGAGACTAGTAATTAGAGTTAATTAGTCACTTGGTTATCAATTGTTAAATGGTAAATAAGTACATGCATTAAAATATATAGTTATATTTGATAAATTTTACCAATAGCATTTTATTGGAGGAACCAGCCATTTTTCTCTCTATCTCTCTAAAGCTATACCCTCGGAAACCACCAAGATTATGGAAATGTCCATGTCCGGGTATGAATCCACGGCCTTGACGCGAATGGTCAGTAGTAACCGGGGTGGAAACCATGGTGCTAGCAAAGTTACTGGCTGTAGAGGTGGTGACGGAAACAATGCTGGCAGTTGTGGTAGTGACGGCAAAATTGGTAATTGTGTTTATGTTGCTGGCCGCGGTTGAGTTGGTGCTGGCTGAAGTGGTATCTGCGGTGTTGGCGGTGTCCCACATTTTAATCAACAATTTATTTTGACTTTCCATCTTTAGACTGCATATATTAATTCTAGTTTTTTTGAAACAAAAAGTTTTACCGATTAAATATTATAAAATAAATAAAATTAAGCAAGAGGTCCCTCAGACTATACACTACTCGTTGGAGTAGGAATGTATTAGTATTCATTATTCAACTTACATATATAACGTGCATATTATTACAAACATTGGCATATAGGTAAAAAAAAACACAATGATTTGATAAATGTGTGAAGACTAGAAGACTTTTCAAACTGGGTCTAAAACTACATCGTTTCATGTGGTATTAAAATTTAAAGTATCAACATAAAAATAAAATATGTTTGTGTATGTCTGTGAGTGTCTTTTATGCATTCCTAAACAGTTGGACTGATTGCGATGAAATTTGATACAGAGATAAATTAGACATCTGGGAAGAAAATAGGCTAATTTAAAAATTAAATTCCAAGCCGGGGAGGAGCTCAAACAGAGATTATGATGGAAATGTTTGTTTGTTAATGATTGCTATTGATTGTAATAATAATTATTATTATTAAAGAGATAAGCCTGTTGGCGCAGTCGCAGTGGTACTTCTATGTATTTTAGTATAGAATGTCTGAAGTTTGAACCGTGATTTCGGTGAACCAATTTTTTTCATTGTCCTTAAATACATTGACTTTTTTTTCTTCTTTAACTATACATACAAATGTTTGGTTTTTTTTTTATTCATCAAATTTTAGTACGGTTTATACATTTACGTACAAACCAAACAGGGTCCGCTATCTACCTGATAATAAGCTACTGTAAATTTCACGGACAACGCTGGTACATTAAAATATAATACCATGTTCCCTTAAAAAGACATTGCTTCCACGGCGTGTTACACCCAAAGGAGTTGAACAATCCGGTTTTTATTTCTAGGCAGGAATACATTTTTAAATGTAGAAATAAGTTCAGTTAGTTTAATTAAAAATGTATTCAAGTGTATAGCTTGTATCAAAATATATAAGTAATAACTATTAAACATTACAATGCTTATTAGAGTATTGCAATTATTGTGTGTATTTTTATCTTGTAATTAATGAGATTTTTATATACTGGCAATGTTCAGTTATGTAATGTGAAATTATTGAACGGGGAAGTATGAAAAAAAGGTAACTTGAACTAGGAAGTCAATGTTAAGAATGTTGATCTATAACTAATATCTATAGTTAACTAAGAATAAATACAAATCTTTTAGTTAAAAGGTATTATAGATACAAAAATATTAATATAACCCAGTTAAAAAGAAAAATTTTTTTTTTGATCTAACTTTTCTATTTATTTTAAATAATAACTAGATATCTTCATTATCTTGTTAAAAATGCATCTATACTATTCCTTCTTTACATGCTAGCATTTTGGGCAATTACATGTAATTGTCAACTATGTTATGAAATCATAGAATATTTATTTGTTTAAAATATGCAATATACACTTAAAACTGTTGGTGATTTCATCAACAATGTTGTATACCAAATGTTGTACTTAATAGGCAATGAATAGATTAACCAGAAAAAATATGTAATTGAATATTGAATATTTTGATTAGTTATCAATTATTACTAATTACATTTTATACTGAAAAAAATCAAGTTTATGCATATTAGGCCTATCTATAAACTATTGTTAAAACTAATTAAATGATTATTTTTTAATTAATCACGCTTTATACAAATATTTTAAATAAAAATAAACAAATAGGTAAATATTTCTTAATTAATTTTTTTATTTGACATTAAATGTGAAACCTATTAACTTCTTGTAATTGTCTAAGCCACTACAGTAGGCTAGTGTGCAATAAAATGTAGGATTTATTAATAATAAAATATTTAGTTATTGTTCCCTATTTGTGTGCATGCGGGTCGTGTAAATATGTAAATGATCATTATTGAGAATGACTGTAGAAAATAAATAGTGGAGCGCACGTGCAAGCAGATGTCAGTAACGCAGCATCTTACACACTTATTACAAATGTGAATTTTAGTGAAACACTGAAACTTAGTTTAGTACTTCCAATAATATAGCTTACTGAATACTGAGTGAAATTACAGCATGAACACCTATTATACAAATTGAAGAGAAAAAGTTTACCTATGCTTGTATAGGAGTCGATTTTCGATATTTTATTTTCAAAGACCAATATTTAGCACTAAAACTTGTGATATTTGACTTTTTGGATTTTAATTATTGAGTTTATTAAATAAAATATCGAAAATTGACTATTATACAAGCATAGATTAACTTATCTTCTACAATATTGATAATAGGTGTATTTTACTCTCAAACCGTTCAATAAACCATATTATTGGAAATACAAAAATACATTTTCGTAGAATTTTTCAATACTATTCAATATTCATACCCCTTAGGAATTAGGATAATACCGCAATCGCTTACTAACACACATCGTCTTAAATTCGAAAAGCGATCCGTAAAGTCCGGTACTCCGGTGTATATTATCGCGACGACGGAGTAGGAACTATGAAATCAACAATTATATTAATAGTTCAGTAATAATTTATTTTTATTAGAGGCATTTAGAGCTCTTCCAAGTTGCGATGTACACAAATTTAAAAGCATGTCGGCGCAATTATCTCTTTCAAACCTACGCGCAACATTGCAACGTAGATAAAACACATTCAAGTGAAATCGGTTTTGTTTCTGATTTTTGAGTTTCTTAGAGCAAAATCACTTATTACAAATATTATAGAGGATAATATTTTTATGGGTTTGACATATCGGTTTTATATTTTATTATAATTTTACATTGTATACGACTTTCAAATTAAAAAAGAAAATTGTACTTTTTATTCGTTTTAAATTGTTTTGAAATCGATTGTCATACTCTCAAAAATATTATTCTCTATAATCATTGTAATCGGTGGTTAGTACTCTAAGATACGATACCCGCTCAAAAACATAAAAAAAAAATATTTTGCGTGATGTTGCGCGTGACCGCGTGGGCCAGATAGAGAAAACAAACATCTGATTGTTTGACTTATAGATTGAATACCTATAGGATAAAAGACACACGACTAGGTACCATGTGTAATATATTATTATTTATTAATTATTATGCTTATATAAAAGCCGAGTCCCTCGTGTAAGGTATAAACATTACAGACGTATGACACTATAATTTTATTGTGTGTGCACTACGGTCTACGACACACTTAAAATTGCACTACGAAAATAAAAATATGTGCACCAGCCTCCTAAGTTTTTATTAGTAGATCAGAAAAATAGCCACCGAGACACAGACATGCATATCTATTAAATGTTGCAACTAACCATACAATATTATTAAGATAGCTATAGCCTATTAAAAGTAGGGCCCTGTAAAGACCTCTACAGTGCCTTATTAAAAGTACCTACCTACGTATTATTATTATGATTTATGTAAATTAATGGTATTTAATGCCTTACTATTAATATAATTTGTGTAATATGTAAATTGAATTATGAAAGGGATTACATCAATTAAAACATATTTAAATAAATAAATGTATAGGTAGTGATTGATAGAAGATTAAACAAATAAATAAGGTACAATACTCACGTATACAAGTGCTATAACGAGACACCGTACAGGCACGGTCGAAGACTCTGAGCGGAATGCCCGACAAATAAACGTAAAACGGATATTGGTTTTATATTTAGAAATAACTATATTATTTATAAAAATAAACTCCAGCTGTAAAAATATTATATACCAAGTACAAACACGTCAAGTCGTGTCACAATCACAAACCGAAACAGCGTCGATGACGGCGGCGGCGACGATGTCGATGCGTAGAGGTAGTGGTCTATGCTCTACGTGACTGCGTTGGTATCGGTAATCCACAGATATCTTATTATCTATGGGTAGACGGCAGAACTGTTGCGGTGGTAATGGTAGAGGCAGGCGGGGTGGTAGCTCGTTACAATAATATTGTTAATCTATTTCGATGCTCGTTACAAAAATACTTCCCAATTGCCGCGGCTGTATCGCGGTCATTTTTCGAGATCGCTGATATTCCCCTCTCATCAGTGAATACTCGTTACGGAAGCTTGGAAATAACCCAACCAACTTGCTAACTGAAAAAAAAAAAACACTCTTGGCTAGTTGGCTAACTTAATATATATTATGTCATATGACGTGTTACGCCGTGTCCTACGTCCTATGTCCTCGACAAATGCGACTAAAAACAAAACGTTGTGACGGAACAGCTTGGTCAGAATAGAAATCGTCGGACTCGCCAGATTTACGTAGGACACGGTGTTAGCTTGAAAAGTCTTACCTTTTTCCTGACTAGGTGATTCCTCAGCGGGGAGCCAATTTGACGAGTTCTACGATGATATCAGTCGTTGTTCGGTAATGCTATTGATGTTGTGTGCGACGTGAGGAATAAGGATAGCACACGTCACACGCTAAACGAAATACAAACTGTTTTATTTTTTGTCGTATTTGTCGGATTCACGTAGAACACGTCGTAACACCAAATGCGGAATTATAGAAATACATTAGATATTTTTATTACAAAGAAATATTAATAAGAGTACACTGTCTGACTCTTAATGATCGGTGGTCGTTGATTCGTCGTCAGTCATCTGGTTATCCGTAAAACGTCGCCACGACCCACGACACTATAGTCACTTGATAAATCCGGCGAGTCCGACGATTTCTATTCTGACCATCAGTATTGTAAAAAATACTTTTGAAAAAGTATTAAGATACTAATACTAATATTTGAATAAAAATGTATTAAAAATACTTTTAAAATGCTATTATAAAAAGGTGCTCTGCTGTACAGTAGGTTACAAGGATCAGTACCTACTAGGTACCTATACAAATTTAACTTTTTTTTCGAATATATATAAAATATAAAACTAGGTAAGTAACAAGTATAATATATAATTAATCAAATAATAAAAATCATTTTTTTTTTTAAATTAAACGTACTTATAAAAAAGGTGGGCGAGTGGGTGTCGCTCTGCTGTACAGTAGC